TGATCAAATTGAATCTTATACTAGAGTCTATCGATGGGGCAGAAATAGGACAATCATCCATGATTCCTGTTAGGAATTGATAGCTGCTTGAAGATTATTGGGATAAACATTTTCTGTTACAATATCATGGATAAGGTAAGTAAGTTATGACAGTACTAATATAATTCAAATGGAAGATGAACCGTAGACATTACCACAATCTGTTTTGAGTATTGCTATAACTAAAAGAAGTAAGGCTGCAATATTGATTGGCAATTTATCCACTAATCATCCCCAAAATATCGCTAAGCACTGTTAACTACACGTCGATTGGCTTACACTAATAGCATCCCAGTGATTGCTCTGTTGATGCAGAATGTAGACGATATAGATCGATATAGATCGATATAGATCAAGTGCAGGTGTTGATATCACTACCCTGCGCAATTTGATTTCATTCTCTCATTAGTGGCACTTAATTCTTTCAATTTCTTATATTGAGAAAATATAGGATTATGGAAAAGAGGCATTGACAACGACTTCACTCTATCGTGTGTAATTATCCTCGATGTTTCTTGCATCGTAACTTGCAATCAGCCATCGCTGTCGGTACGGAAGATGAAGAGGCCAACCAGCATCATTATGACAGAGGTAAACAGACAGGTAATATATGTTACTGGATGTAATCTACATTGCAGAAATAGGATTATCATCACCATTATCGATCAAGGTGCATCCTGTATAATATTTTGGATGGCTTTACCCTTAATTACAATGACTTTGATAGATACTATTCAAGGTATTAAAGTAGAATTGATGATGTCAATTTAAACTAATTGCAGATGGTCAACTTTCCAAGAAGACGGTGAAAAACACAAGGAATTACTAAACTATAACTGACTAAAAGTCTAAAACAATATACGGGTCGCTAGTTTGTAAGTAGACAAGGTACAGGAGTAAGAGTGAGATATTTAGTTTGATAACAGCCTTGGATACACTAAGTGCCTTGCTGACAAAGATTGGCCTATAAGAATATACTCTGTGACTGGAATAACAAGTTGTTAAACAAGCTGAATTGCAATCAAACGATTTATTACGAGTCGTATGATTCATGATGATGACCTACTATATATACTGTTCCTGTATTGAAAGCCTTGAACTGATCAAGATGCTTTGTAAACCGTATACCATCACTTGTTTGACTTTAGATGGATATTTACCAAGATGGATATTTACGCATGAAAAGATACAAAGACAATATCAAATACTTCCATCCTTTCACACAATTCTTCAACCATGAAAATCTATGGTCGGACAAGCAGTTAATCCTATATCAAAATGGATCTAGTTTGAATATTTATAACCCCCAAACACTACAGCTACAAATTACTCTACCATTCCGTCACTTCAAAATATGGGACATGCAATGGAATCTTCAACACTCTCAACTCATCATCAGGAGTGATCAGGATTACTGCTTAGCAAATCCAATGAAAAAGGAATAATATTTGCGTGAAATGTAAAGCTAATCTTGTATCTTGTACCCAGCGCAATTTAACGAGAGTGACAATAAACTAAGTTAATATTGCTTCCATAATCAATGAAGATGATTGATGTGTATGCTGTACAGATGGATAAAGTATACCCCCAATGTCAGTAAAACCAATACCCAAAAATAAATAAACCAAAATATGATTAAAAGCAGTCTATGTCTAGTCTATGGTCAATGCTATTGCTGAGTTAGTTTAATGTCTATTACAAATCGTAGTCAAAGAGCGACTTGAAAGAGAAAAGGAAAACATCCCTAACAAAACATTGGTAAAATAGGAGAACATAAAGATCAACATTGGGATGGAGAAAATGGATTGCAAAATTGCAGCCTATCTATCATTAAGCATCCCATCTAGTCTAAAGTAGATATTGATGACAGTCTTGTAATACTGTAGATGGCGATCTCTTCAGCTATTAATAAACTAAATTAACATCACCTCTATCACATACAATCGATATCAACGTTTCAGTGACCGAGTCTATTACAGCTAACGGTCGTATCGATTATTATTGTGCACCGTTAATGAAGATGAAAATATTTGTCACCAATTCCTAACCTATTTGTTGATTCTCGGTAATATAATAATATGGCATTAGTGATTAGGTTGGAGAGTGTGGTTTGAAAACAGGCGAAAGTAATCTCAAGTATCATGTTATTAGTTTTTCCATATTTTTATTCTAAATTAACTTTATGGCAAATGTGTATTGATCAAAGTCAGGTTGGCTAAAACATCTACAATAATTATCCCTTTTGTAGCCATAACTAGAAAGTGTTTCACATATTTAAAAATGAGTAAATCGTTACTGCGTTAAATCAGTACTGATTGCCTGCTTATGTTGTCGGATTAATACCTTTATACAAACTTTGATTAGTCAAGAATGCAATATTACGCCCCTCATTGTAATATGTATGCAAACAATAATTAGGTTAGAGCTTGAAATTTTAAACAGTATAGAATGTGAACCTTAACGGATTTTATTGAACCCACACCGATCAAACTAATCATAGAAGTTATCAAAAATATTATTTGCCATACTTGGCGTACAGTTTTGTCTATCCGTTTGATTTCATGCTATAGAATTTTATTTACCTAATAATGGCGAAAACTCAATCAACCAATGAAAATTCTTTACTTTTATATCTTAGCGTGGCAATTATACGAGTAAATTATAATTATATAAGCAGAACTATGTCACTAGGGATACTAATAATGATATAAAAGTTCAAGCAAATCACTCTATTATTGTCTATCCGTTTGATTTGATACTATAGAATTTTGTTTGCATAGTAATGATGGAAATTCAATTAACCAATTAAAATTCTTTACTTTTATATGAGCGTGGTAACTATAAATTAATTATTCAAACAGTACCAGGTCAATAGGTACCGTATATTAATGATGATATAACAGACGAGAAGACACAGTTATTTTTCGCCTTTCACTCTTTTCTACTCATCTGCCTTTAAGACAAAGATTCTCGCCTTAATATTATTTTTTGTATTCCATTTCACAGTTTTCTTGCTAGTTTAAACATCAAGAATTATAATAGTTCAAGCAAATCGCTGTGTTAGGTCGATCGATTGGCCTGTTAAGAATCAACAGGTACTCCTATACAATATTACCCAGGAAAATAACTTTATATGGGTAGAAGTGATGTACTCCATATTTGATTGACAAACAGCAAATATAAATCGAATCTAGTCTATAAATTACAAGTAATGCAATCATCAGATGGAACTTGGGTTGATTTAGATACAACAGCGATGACAATTTTAGCCCTAAATTGTGCCGATAACAGTAGTAATAGTGCTATATCTAAAGGCTTCCAAGCTTTACTCTTAAAGCAATCCAAAACAACTTATCAATTCGAGAATATGTATACAACTGCTCATGCGGTACAAGCTATGCTGTCGCAAAAATACCTATATCAAAATGGAACTATATGAAAGTACTCCATGGACTTATGAAATATGAGATAGCCAACGAAGGGTTCGGCAGAATTGACAACACAGCTGCTCTATTACCGTCGTAGGCGAGTGCAGTTTATCTAGACTTGCAAAATGTTACCTGCGATCAGTTAAATGATAGTACTGAATCTCGTATTATTACTATTATGTACACTGTTCGAACTAAGTCATAATACAAATTGACCTATAAAATATGCTTACTGACTGGAATAACAAGTTCTTAAACGAGCTGAATTACAATTAATGATGATGACCTACTATATACTGTTCGTCTATTGAAACCTTTGAAGGGACCAAGATACATTGGAAACCATATATCATCACTTCTTTGACTTTAGCAGTATCAATAAGTGTTAATGTTATTAAAACTTTGGTAAGCTCTAAAACTATTGTCAATCTACCGTTCCTGAATTCTAATTTCATTTGCATGATAATAGCTCAAATTCAACATCCAATTAAGAAGTTTAAGAAGTTAAGAACAGTTTATTGTTATTTCTTTCTTTGCAAGCGGTGCTGTTACATTATTCATTTATTAATGAACTCAAAGTCAATAATGTGATCGCATGACAGTCGAATAAATGCGTTTTCTACTTTCCCTTCCTATCTCACTCTTTCCGCCTTTTTGACAGACAAATTCGTTAATTACTTTTTCTTCATCAGCTCCATTAAACTGTCAGCTTGAGCATCAAGATTCAAGAACTGTGAAATACTCATTAAACGTTGTATCCAGTCTATCCCAATAAATCAAGCAGGAGTGAACTGGTACGGATAGACATTATCATTCAAAACTAATTTAAAAAGTGTTCATCTCAAATTCTCTATATTTCCTCCCATGTATTTTATTTTTATATGCCACGTGTTTATCATAAGCTTGACGCCTTTAATTCCATTCTTAACTTAATATTACTCGATAATCCCTGTTCCAGATTTTAACCTGAGCTTGTGATTTATTTTATTTTGATACAGTATTAAATTTATAAAATTGAACGTACGTATCGCAAGATTTTTGTTTTAAAGCCTACTATTTCTTCACTACGTATCTACAATCATCGTAAATCATCTATCCTAGATAGAATAGCGCTCTACTTATTTTCATGCCAAAAGTGCACTTAAAACAAGCGTAAAGACATCCAAAAATGGAGCTAATAAGTTAGCGTAAATAAACTAGATTGCGAACTCACTATCTGAAACACAGAGATAAAAATTACTTGTTCTTGCTGATATTTTATTTCTTTGGTCTTAAATAGCTTACAGACAATTTACTTTTAACGGTTTATAAAGAATCATTAGGAGTTTATACTGTATAGTCCATCAGTTTCAGCGAATAGGATTAGTATCATTTTGTGAAGTTGTAAGCACATGGATAGGTACCTATATTCTCGTTGACTTACATCATCTCTTTAGGAAATAAATAGGGATAAATGAAGAAATAAATCTGCTTATGGTTAATTACATTGTACGAGTTAAATATACGTACTAAATGTGAGTAAACATATGGCTAAAGCGTTTCACTTCACAAACCGGAAATTC